AATAAAACTGACTAGAAAATATTGCCCCTAATGACATCCATAACTAACATGCACCATTGAAGAATGGTGGCTAGTGCCTGCTGCCAGACACTGCTGAGAATACAACTGGGAGATAATGGATGCTTCAGTTCACTGGCAATTCTGAAACAAATCAGAAAAAATATTGGGTTGAACTAGACATTTAGTTTGACATGAAACTAAACATTGTGTTTCAATTTTGAGCATGTGTTAATGTTATTAAAAATAAAATTGAAGAAAATTTCAAAAAACAAAAAGTAATTTTGAATCAAAAAATCATAAGAACAGCCATCCTGGGTCAGTATCATGTCTTCTGACAGTGGACAGTGCCAGGTACTTCAGAGGGAATGAACAGAACAGATAATCATCAAGTAATCCAACTAAAATGTTTTGTTTCAAAAATGTCAAAGGAGACATTTCCATTTTTTCAGAAATTTGTTTTTGTTTTTGGATACAAATTTAACAAAACTGACAAATTCGTAAAATATTTTGGTGTCGATGAATTTGCATTTTTGCTGAAAAAATTTTCCAGCAAAAAAATTTCACGCAGCTCTAAATGCAGCAAGTAATTACTTTGATAAGGCCAATCACAGTGAGTTTCTTACCCAGGCAAACTCCCATTGATTTCAATAGGAGTTTGCCTGAGTAAGAACTGAGGAAGAATGGAATAAGGAATTCCACGTGTAGTGCATTATACATAACTTTTGCAGAAATTGTGTAAGCACCTTATGAAGTGGAATAAAAAAGTGTTCCAAATATGCTCTTATCTAAATTTCACATAAATATGTTCACATATTTGACAAAAAACTGCTTTACACCATTAGACTAGTAGTCACTTCTCATTTTCAAATTCCTGGATTTTCTTGTTCCACTCTACTAAGCAAAGCAGAATTATCAAAGGACAATGCATATTTTAAACTCATGTGTTTTCAGCATAATAATAAAAACTAACATATAGACTACAATATTGTATTTAAAAACGCAATTCTAATACAAAGGCTTACTTGCCATCTCAGTTTTTATATTTCTGTTTCTAGCATAAAATTTTTTTAGAAATAAGAGGCACTTGCTTTCTTGCCTTTTTTCCTCTATAATATGGTATCACATTTCTCTGTACGTCTGCTCAGTACATTAGGTTTTTATCTACAGTAATTTAATTCACAAATAATTTACAGTAAAATTCAAAATGTGAAACAGAAGTACTTGAGATGAGAGACTATCATTTATGCAGAGCAATATCATAATTTTTGAAAGGACCAAGAGGTCGGGTATGGCTTCTGATTAACACTGGTGAACTTGATTCCTAAAGACTAATATCCTGAATGGGAAACTGATACCTTTATGCATGCAGTCTACCCAAGGTATTCTCATTAAAACAATTTTTTAAAATGTTATAATCTTCACTTTGTGTCAAGATATTGAGAAGGCTTTCCATATCTGATTAAAAATATTAAATGAGGTATTGGACTACATTAAAAATCAACCTTTTTTCACATATTGAAAAGTAATGGTCTATAATTTTTATTCATGTGCTTTTATTTCCAGTTAATGATAATTGTACCACAGCCAACTTTGTGGCCTGTTCAACTGAAAACCTCCAGGGATGTACCAAAGAAGAGATTGTACAACAGAAGAGACACACTTCATATAACACCGCTTCCTATTTTGTATTTTTTTAATTTGATCCTAACTTTGACTGTTTTATCATCTATTTGTTTTTCCAGCTGATGGGTCCTATAAACTGGTAAATGTGTAAGCAAGAGCTCAGTTGTTAGATTTACCCACAGACTTGGGACACAGCAGTATTGCCAAACTCGAGCATTCAAAAACCATGACTCAGACCTCAAAAATTGAGGAGATTGCTTACAGATCATGAGTGTGACGGGTTCGATCACAGAAACCCCCTTGGGAACTGCCAACTGATATGCCAAGACTACTTCTGCCCCTGCTTTCCCTGCCAACCTGGGAATCCAGCACCCTGTCTTGTTGAGCCAGATATGCCAGTCTGCTCCAACACAGACCCAGGGTCTGAACCACGTGCCCCAAAGCTGCAGACTTAATTGAAAGCAACTTACAGAAGTGTTCCTGTCTTTAACACTCAGATGCCCAACTCCCAAGGGGATCCAAACCCCAAATAAATCCGTTTTACCCTGTATAAGCTTTAATTGTTCTCATAACTCATAAATTGTTCGCCCTCTATAATACTGATAGAGGGATATGCACAGCTGTTTGCTCCCCCCCCCCCCGCCCGGGATTAATACATACTCTGGGTTAATTAATAAGAAAAAAGTGATTTTATTAAATACAGAAAGTAGGATTTAAGTGGTTCCAAGTAGTGACAGACAGAACAAAGTGAATTACCAAGTAAAATAAAATAAAACACGCAAATCTAAGTCTAATACAGTAATAAAACTGAATACAGATAAAATCTCACCCTCAGAGATGTTTCAATAAGTTTCTTTCACAGACTGGACGCCTTCATAGCTTCCTGCCCTGTTTCTTAACACATTCCTCTTCCCAGTTTCCCTCACAACCTCATTTCTGGCCCCTGCCAGGCCCTCACATGGTGACTAAGGGATTGCCATCTCCTGAGAACAGCCTGACTTCAGCCCCATTGGAGAGAATTGGAGCGTCATTTTCCTCTGCACAGGGTAAAGGGACATGATGGCTATCGTGCCGAGGGCACCTCTGACTTCAGTCCTATTGACAGTAATGGGAGATGGTGGCCATTTTGGCCAAAGGGCAAAAAACTTTGCAATATTGAAAGCAGAAATAAAAAATTCATTGAGACTCCTAAAAAACCCCAAATATCTTGAGACGTTTGATAAAATTGCAAGAGCTTGAAATATTGAAACAGAAAAAGAGAAGGGATTACAATTTAGAACTGATAAGTGCTATGCATGGAGGATGGATGAGGCAAGATACTACAGACCAGGGCCCAGGACTCAGAGCTATTTTTGGTTGAATAGCCTATCGGCTTTGGTTAATACGTCTCCCTGCAGTGACACCCAGGTGCAGAGAATTTCTCTGCACTGTTTGTGATAGAAAATGCTAGCATAAGATAAAGCAAAACGCATGTGAATAATATTTAAACCCACAGACCCATAGCTTTGGGTCACATGAAATGGCCATACCATCTTTTCAATATTTTGAGTCCATCTCAAAACCCAAACACAGATCTCTGTGATATCCCACTAGACATTTCCCTCCAACTCAATATATCAAAATTTTTCAATTTTTTAAGAGTGTTTTGGCCATTTTTCAGACCACCAGTGCCTCTAACCAGCTAATTTGATTTCAACTAAAACTTCATGTGACATGGTATCAAATTACTAAATTTCAAGTATATTACATCTTGTCCCGCTCACCCACTAATTTGTAATTCTATAAATTGGACAGTTAATTACCAGAATCATCCCAGTAAGTTTCCATAATGCTTGCTGGATCACAGACTGCATAATTTAGTATTTGTTCTTTGAACAGAATGAGGAAAGGATGGACAATATATAATTAGCTGTAGCTTCACTGGATACTAGGCAGGTCAAAATTAGAATACAGGTGAAAAATCCTGAAGCCAAAACTGCAATTTGAAACAAGCAAGTGACTCTTTACTGGCACCTCTGCAAATCAATCTTAAGGAGAAAATTTGAAAGAGCAAGACAGGGCATATGCTTCTGTTATTCCTCGAACACCCCCTCATTTGGGTATCCAAGCATGTGTTTGCACCAGAAAATCAGGGAATGACATGACTAAATGGGCAGCAGCACATGCCATTACCTGAATTTCTATGCATAAACATGAGAGTTTGTGAGTGCAAAGATATTTTGTGTGGTCAACCGATTTCAGGGGCTCTTGAAAATTTGACTCGAGTCTAAATTGATCACTTTTCAAGGCCAACAAATCACTTCACTTTTGCTTTGAATTGGTGGATAATTCACTTAGAAAAAATAATCATGTGGTTTGGAGTGCCTGAGTGGACTGACTGAGACGATGCAATTGCTTTCATAGAGATTTGGTTTCCTAAAAATTAAAGTGGCATACAGCAGGCAACCCAATTTTTTAAGAATAGGCCTTTCAGAATCCCAATGAGAAGGCAGCAAACCAAGGGAGACCCTAAAAGCATTCATTTTTCAACATGAGAGACAGAAACACACACAAAAAAATCAAGAAAATCACAGAATGTGGTATTGATCAAGCACAGTGTTCTGATGGGGACAGTGATGAAATTTGAAATTTCCCCAAAACAAACGATAAGTCACATAGAGCAGATAACAGAAATGCTGCCTGTAAGCTTGTTTGTTTGTTGCAAATGGTCAAGTTTGTATGTTAATTGGTTTATTATAAGAAGATGACTCTTGAGGAATTATATCATGTGTATTTTTGTCTTAATCTCTTTATAAATCATTTTGAAACTGAGACAATTTCTGTGAAAGCTAAAGATATAAATAGCCAATACCATTATTAATCTCTCATCTGTGTTATAATAATAACATTGATTATACAAGTTATTTACATGGTGTAGCTGTTTTGACATTGTGGAGGCCTGTGGAACTATTCCTGACAATTTGGCATAGTTCAATGAATGCCGACGGGAGAAATCCATTAAAATATGGCAAAATCTAGAAGTAATATGCAGGATTCTTGAACAAGTAAATTAAATTTTATGTCACTATGGTTTCCTCCAGAACCTAGGCTTAGATAGCCAGAGAAATTTCTAGTGATTAATATGCCATAATTTATGTTAACTGAACATTTGCACCTGTAGAATGTGTTTCAGTTCTGAAGACAACTAAGCCTTTATCTCAGATACCTTTTTGATGTAACTATTGGGTTACTATTTGCAGTGTATGACATTCCAATTAAAAACAAACAAAAGGCTTTAAACAAAACAAATATATAAAAATGTTTAAAATGAGGTGCACTTTGCCAAATAAACTGGTATTTAAACTTTGCAATGTCATGAAATATTTAAAAATGCTTACCTCTTCTTGTTTGGGAATGTTAAATTTTGCCATCTTGGTCTTGGCCATAGCTGGGTCAGGCTTATTAGAAGGTACTCCCCTATATGATGTACAGTGCATTTTAGCTTCTGCCGATAACTTTAGCTTTGGAGAATCATCAGGAGCCTGATCTTGACCATCCATTGGTCTTACATAAGCCGTTGGTTTCTGTTGAACTATATTGGGCTTTGAAGCAAGTGAAGGAGGGAAGTTCTGAACACAGTGCCCAGTGCTGTGTTTTGCTGGCCTTTCTTGAGCCTGAGATCCTGCTTCTACACTGCAATTTAATTTGGACTGCTGTTGTGCTTTGCTGACACTGTCTCCAAGCACGGATCTTAAAGTACCTTGTTTTGCAGCACTGACAGATGACGATGTGGGACTCAATGCAAAGTGTTTAAGCTTTTCCAGACTGGTTTTTTGGTTAGCCATTTTGAAGTCACTGTTGTGTGACTCAAGCAATCTGTGCCCATGCTTGCTTGCCCTCTGCTGTCCATCAGAAGCATTGTGCCCAGCTTTCTGCCAACCCATTGTCGGGCTCTTGCTTTGCTGACCAGATAGAGCTGCTGGTATGGATGATGAAGTGCTGCAGATGGAAGGCTGAGGCTGTGGTCTTGAATCTGCAATAAAATGTTCATCAGTTTTGTTCACAGGTGCCTGTGGAATCCCAGGTTTTGGAACTCCAACAAGATGACTCTGGTTGGATCGATCCGTCAATAAGTCCTTCATTTCATCATAGTTGCCTAATGTATTCTGGATACGATTTGAGAGCTCATCTCCCTTGTTAGTCTGCAAAACAACAAAAAAAATCAAACAAACATTCTGTAACAATTAAAGTAAAAGAAAATAATTCTATTCATGCTTCACTCCTTACTGAAGCAGCACTGCCTTATACAGTAACATAGTTGAGGAATGAGATCGAAAATCCTTATTGTCTCTGAAGACACTTGTCAACATCTTAAATCTACCCTGAACTGGAAAAGCTGTAAAGGGCCTCAGAGTATATAAAAAAGAAATCTATCACTGGTATCACACTGTAGTTAAAATATATTACCTGGAAACTAGAAAATTTATTATTGCGGCTATGCAGAATGATTTGGATTAAATCTGGTCATAATAAAAAAATTTCCTTTGTTGGGAGCCAAGTATTGAATTGAGGCCTACAAGGTGCTTAGGCAGCAGCCTTAGCTACTGCACCACAGCAATGCACTGATGTGCTGCCTCTGACCAACAGCCTACAGGCCCACAGCACCCAGGCCCCTGACTGGATGGACAGGCAGCACTTTCATTCAGTAACTGGACTATATAAAGGCCTGAACAGGAAGAGGAAGCTGTCTGAGCCCCAGACTAGTGCCTGCTGGTTGCTCCCCAGATTGCCTTGCCTTGCTGCTTCACCTTACCCTACCTTGTTGCCTCATCCGACCTCACCTCCCCAACTCACTAATCTGGCCCCTTGGATTGAGTCTTCCGGCTACTGACCCCTGCAAGAACTCTGACCATGGTCCCAGACGGCCTCTGACATGGAGTGACCTGCTGGCTGCCTGACCATTTGCACCTACATTACTGCTCTGGACTGTCCCCTGGCCCACCTGGCACTAAAATCCTTGTAGTCCACAGCAAGCTTCCCTTTCAAGACATGGGTCAAGGTTCAGCCATGAATGAAAATACTACATTCCTGATTTCCTCCAATATGCATTCTTTACAGAAATATACACATAGAAGAAAAGGGAGGCAATACAATAGCTTAAGAAAGTACTGAATTCACCAGTCAGTTTACTGCATATTCTGAGCTGACCCTAATATCAACAAGGTTTCTTAAGGAAAGAAAGTGAGCTAATGGGACATGGGAAAAATATTACTGACTCATGATGCTACTTCTCTGAAAAATATCATTTCTGACAGAATTCTCACTCCTGGGTCTTAGCTCTTTTGCAAAAAACAGGAAGAATTTCCCAAGTTCTTAACATTTTTTGGCAGTGGTAGCAAGATGGAATACAAGCAAGTTGCCTTTTCCATCCTCCCAAGGGTGGAATGTGCTGTCATCTGAGCCTAGCCACTGTCTTGGAGCAGAAGGCAAAAGCTCCCCAAAGAAATAAGACAATCAATAAAAATAATTGAAAACTATTGTCTCGAGAAGTTAATTGTAAACAAAGGTATAAACATTAACATCACTGCTTCATAGATTCTTCCAAACTCTGCACAGAAGCAGGTGGGTGAGTGAGAATCCTGTCAGGCTACCTTCACAGAATCGGGATTAGAGGTCAATAATTTTCTGCTTTTCCTTCACCAGTGGTGAAATCCTGATCCCACTAAAGTCAATGGCAAAACACCCATTGACTTCACTAGGACCAGGATTTAACCTCAGGATTCTTGCTCCTGGAGAGAGAAGTTGCTCAAGGGAAGAACATAAAAAGAATGTAAAAAAGAAAAAGAATGTAAATAAATCTGCAACAGGCAACAGTAATCAGGCCAATACCAACCATGGAGAGGAAGGTGGGGGTTTTTTGGCTTACTTTTTATAAACTTCAAATATAATTGGCTTAAATTAGTCACATACTGAAAAAAACAAACATACTAGGGGAAAGGAGAATTGGTACTCCCCTAACTCAGAAACAGTATCTGCATCACTGAAATAGGATTTCCTCCTAGAAGCTGAATCCACGTAATAATGCCTTAGGGATGTGTGGAATGAGGGCCATGTAGCTGCCTTGTCTATGTTTGCAAGGGAACCTTCCCCACGGCAAGCAGTACAGGCAGTAATAAAGTTGAACATGCCTTGCATTGGCTTTCTAGTTTCAGAGCAGCCAGGTGATAGATACGCAAAATGCAATCAAACTACAATTTTTGAAATGGATCACTTAGTCACAGTATTGCCCAGTGGAGTAAAATAAAAAAAAGTTGGGAGGATTTTTTAAAGATTTAATCCACTCCAGTTAGAATGCCAAGAACTTTTTGAGCCTAGGGAGAAGAGCATCGTGGGCACACGTGGGTGGAAAGAACACTGGCAAGTTGTGAGGCTGACGACAGTGGAAATTTGTCACCACCTCCAAGAGCAGTCTCAGCTGAGTCTGAGGCATCACACTGTAAAACTTGGAATAAGATGCAATAGACATGAGAGCCTGAAGCTCGCTCTCTCTACAAGCAGCAGTCACTATCACAGTAAATTTGAGCTCACAGATATTTGGTGCCTTTAAAGGGAGTTTTCATTAGCTTTGTCAGGACCACACTAACGTCCCATAATAAAGAGAGCTATTAACGAGGTTTCAAAAATGGAAAGCCCCGCATAAATCTGAAGATACGGGTCTACAAAGATAATGCCTTGACTAGTTCTCAACAGGCCAGATGTTTCTTAACTGAGTTGGGATTTAAATTAGATTCAGTCAGTAAGAAGCTAGTCAAGCATAGGTAGTAAAGGGGTCATCATGGTCTTGCTTGTATCATGCCACAAGCCTCTTCTACCTGGAATTGTAAGTCCACCTGCTACATGGTTTTTGAGAAGCTAGGAAGACTGGAGCTACCAGTTCAGAGAGAGCATAACTATAGATCTCTTAACTATAGAACTCAGAAACAGCCTCAATTCTCTGTTTTCTCTTATCAACTTTATAGCTAGCATTGCCATCATGACTCCTCTGTTGCTTGTACTTCCAACTTAAAGTGGACAACTTAGCTGCATTTGAGAAACAGATCTCTATCCTGTCAGGAGCCAATCTTCTCAAGGAGGGAGTTCCTGGGTTGGGAAAGAGGGGAGTGCCATCTGGCCAGATTCCCAGCCTCATGAAATCAGGTATCTGCAACAGAGTTGACAGCTATGCTTGTGTGGGCCAGTATGGGGTTTGTAAGATCACTCTCTCGACTAAACTTAGCCAAGATCTTAGCTAGCAGAGGTACTAGCAGAAAGGCACAGAGGAGGCTCCTTCTTCACTCAATCTCTTCTTTTCCAGCAGATCCCTCACTAGCATAGTCTTTTAGCGTAGAGGTCTTGGTCAGACGACTACTGAAGAGATCCACCTCTGGCACTCCCCACTGGAGGGAAGAGCTGATCCACCATTCCTTGATTCAGAGACCATTTGTGAGGATCTGTCACAGACTGATCCAGTCTGCCTATGACTATGTTCTACTTCTCTGACAAATGTATGGTATCAAGGAACGTTTAGAGAGACAGGGCCTTTCACATAAACAGGTTTTACCAACTCAGACGGTGTTACAGGATCCCACTCCAGAGCAAGCCCCATGTGCACAGAAGCTATTCACCAGCTGTTGTTTCCTTGTGCTGGGTGTGGGGTTGATGGGGCTCCCCGTTGGTCACCTTCTCCTGTTGTTAGCCTCTGTCTGGGTCTTTTGTGCCTTAAAAGTTCAAACTCCCTTCTGGGGTATCCAAGCCCAGCTGTAACTGGACAAGCCCCAAGCTGGCTTCTCCCAGCTTCAAAGTCCCTTCACCCATCTGCTCCGAGTCCAGCAGCAAAGTCCTTCTAAATCAAACAGAATTCCACTCCTTTTTTTTGTTTTGTTTTTTGGAAGAGTAGCAGGTCCCATGACTTCTCCCTGGGCTTAGGAGAACTCCAAAACTAAACACTACCAAAATGTCTTTCACCCATCTAAGCACTTGAGCCTCTTGCCCCTCTTGGGTTCCTCTTCAAATCCCAGTTCCTCTTACAGAACATAGCCCCAGGACTGCCTCCCTGGAGACTGGCCCCTTGTTCCAGGTCCTATCACAGGAGTTAGCTCCACTCTGGTGACTCAGCTCTCCTTCACAGCCAGCCCCTAAGTGCTGGGCTTCTTCCCTTTTTTAAGTCCTACACCCAGATCAGGTATGGTAGGGCCTGGCTAATTAATCAGGCTTGGCCAGCCCCTGGCCCTTAAAGAGGCAGGTCACCCCATTACATGGTGCTTCCCTACTTATTGATGTAAAATGTGGTGGCCTGATTCTCCTCAAACTAGGGCCACCTTTTGGAATACCAGGCCTTAAAGCCTGAGGAACTGTCCATATCCCTACGTATGAAATTTTTGTGCAGTATTTGTTCCTCCAAGCATTGGGCCCCTCTGTATGGACTCCCCGTCACAAGCCAGGCACATTTGTGCTCACTGCAATTTGGATGTCCGTAGCTAATTGAAGGTTGTCTCTAGATGCCACCAGGCCAGAGGTATTCTCTCATCTGGATGTAATGTGAGAGTCCCTGCGCTCTCGGGGGCCACTGAAGAGATCTCATATGCAAACGTGCCATGGGAACTACAAGTACAGCTGCAGCCATCAGATCCAACATTCTTAGTATGGTCTAAGCTGTCATCTGCTGGCTCTTGCTTATCCTCTCTGCCAAAGTGGTAAGGTCTTGGATCCACTCCTGAGGCAGGAAAGGTTCAAGCTAAGCTGTATCTGGCTGGGCTCTCGGGTATTCTAATTGTGTGCTAGGGACAAGTTGGAATGTTGGGTATTTTAACAGGAATTCTAGTGGTAGAGTCTGATTTTATGACATCCTCAAAAGGGTTGCTGTCCTTGAGTAGCCAGTTATTAGGTAGGGGAACACATGCACTCCCAATCTGGGTAAATAGGCCAAATTATTTGTGAAAACATATCCCACATATAATGATCGAAGAGCCTTCTGATACCTGAGAAGTATCTCTATGTTCAGACAACTGCAAGATCCAGAGGATATAGCCAATCACATTCTTCTTAAAGATTCTTTAGCAAAATTACTGATTTTGTTGATGAGGCAGTCTCTTCTGTCCAGAAAGTATCTGGAATAAAACCCCCTTCTCCCTCTTTCTTGGCCAGAAGGGATTGGACTTCCTGCAGCATCTCATCATCAGAGGGTGCCTGAGAGCGTTCTTGAGAGGTATAATGGGGTAAGGAACAGTCTGTAGGGCAGCAATACTCAGACTGAGGCTTGGGAGCTGCAAGTGACTCCTCAGGGTGTCTCCTGCAGCTCTTAGCAGCACATGATATTAAAACACTGTGTGATTTAATTATTAACCAATCTAAGTTATTAACCACTCAGAATGCTTTTACTATGTTATTAACCAGTTGTAGAATACTTGGTCCGTCATTTTGCTGTGAGAATATTTTTAAAAATAGTAAATGAAACAATGAATTCACACACTACTGTGGCTCTTTTGGGTAATGTTGATCGCTAATTTGGCTCCTGAACCACAGAGGTCTGTCTGAGTATCACTGCTGTAGAGTCTTTCTGAAAATCTGATTTTAGGTCACAGGGCACAGACATCTAAGATGACCAGGAGCAAACAAGTATAAAAGGCTCCCAGTCTGCTTTTGACAAGGTCATCTACTGCTTGTGGAAAGGCAAGAACGAGGCCCTTTGACTTCTGCTGGTGTTATTGAGGCCAAGTGCCCTGTGCAGAGGGATATTAAACTTTCTTGAAGCCTGGAGTTAAGGTAGAAATTGAGCCTACAAAGAGGAGTGTTTCCCTTCATTCCCTTGTGGAAGGTCTGACCCTAAAGGCCCCTTGATGCCAACTGGTAAAGGGTTCACTGTCATGTAACAGCATCTCCTATCAAGCCTGACAAACTCACTACACCTAACACATTGATATCATAGAATTTTATCCATAAAAAATGTCGTGTGAGGTCTCATATGAGAGCTTATATCATACTGGTCATCATAAGCTTTGTGAGATGTATGTTCAGGTGCTATTCCAGAAGTCACATCTATGTACTAAAAATACATTTAAACTATGTAACCAGGCTGGGTTGATAAACAAGGATTTCCCAAACAAAGGAATGTTGATTTACCTGTCTGCCTAGATCTCTGATGTAAATTAAGCAGCATATGCCAAATACAATGGGAGTTCATTTGCCTCTGAGGTAGACAGGAAGTACAAGTTAACAGGAGGGTGAAAAAGCAGCATGGCACCAGCACACCAGACCACAAGCAATCAGGAAAGAATGAATTTATCTGGGAGTACACTTCAAAAGGAGACATTTCAAAGGTTTGCTGGACTACAAGAAGAGGAAAAAGAACCCCCTGGACAGTTACACTGGTCTACAATTTTTGAGAAGTCGTCTGCTTCAGAGATAAAATGTGCTATGTATTATGTATTTTGATGTGCTGAATTCAAATATGACAACTAAAACAACTGATTGGCTACTGTTACTAAGATATTTAAGTTTTTACATTTTATGTCTATGTATATTGTGTAG